GGGGGCTGGCAAGAGGGAGAGGCTGGCGGTTCAGGGCCCAGCTGGACGTTGGCCTAGCTGGAGGCTTGGCTGGTCAGCCAGGGGCTCCTGGGGCGGTCGTTGAGAGGGGCTCCCGCACGCCCACTCTCCTGGTCCCTAAGAGTTTGCCGATATCACCATGTGTGCCCACTGGCTTGAGAGCCGGTGCTGAGTGTGAGGGAGGCCAGTGGCTTCAGGCTTTGGGGAACCCCAGGTGAGCGGAGGGGACATGTGACCGCACGCTGCTACAGCAGGCGGGACTGGCCATGCGATTTGCAGGGGCCCCTTGTGCAACCATCATGAAGAATTTTAAGACAGTGGGAGCAGAGCATCAGGCTGGGTGCAGGGCCTGGCTGGGCAGGGCTGTGTGCAGGGGGAGCAGGGTACCTGTGTGCAGGGTACCCCGTTCCTGCCAGCAGCCGTGGTTCTGGGCACCCCCTGGCCCAGGTAGATCAGCATCCCAGTGTCCCTTCCCCAACATCGAAGAAGCCCAGGGTCAAGGGGAGACCCTTTCTCACCCTCCCACCCACAGCTAGGGCAGGGGACGAGAGCTGTGAACCAGGCTGGAGACTGGCTCTGTCGGGTCGGCACCCAGATGGCTGTAGGCCCAGGGAGGAGGCAACTCAGGACCTGCCTGACTCGGGGCAGGGGCAGTCCCGGAGGGAAAGGGCTCTCCGATGGGCACAGGGAGGGCCGTGTCGTCTCCAGTCCATCTCCCAATCGTCGGGATTCCCCCGAGAGCCAATCGCACCACTTGCAGCTGTGAGTTCGGTCACTTGTCAGGGCTGAATTCCTGCCTCCTGGCTCTTCACCAGCAACCTGCCCCTCCGCAGTGCTGGGGTCCCCCGAGCCTGCCGGCTCCCTCCCACGGAGTGCTGGCGCCTGAGGCCCAGGCCTGTGCTGTTGCCTGCTCTCATGGTTTTTTAAAAGAGAGGGGGAGAGAAAGAGAGGGGGGGGAGAGAGAGAGAGAGAGAGATCTTCCATCTGCTGGTTCACTCTCCTGATGGCTGCAACAGCCAGGGCTCGGCCAGGCCAAAGCCAGGAGTTTCCTTTGGGTCTCCCACGTGGGTACAGAGGCCCGAGTACTAGGGCCATTTTTGGCTGCTTTCCCAGGTGCATCAGCAGGAAGTTGGATTGGAAGTGGAGCAGCTGGGACTTGAGCCGGCACCCATATGGGATGCTGGCATTGGAAGCAGCTGCTTTACCTGCTATGCCATAGTGCTGGCCCCTCCCTCTTCTAATTTTTGAAGTTTTTATAGGGGCTGGTACTGTGGCCTAGCGGGTAAAGCCATCACCTGTGATGCCAGCATCCCATATGGGCTCTGGTTCAAGATCTGGCTGCTCCCTTTCCCATCCAGCTCCTTCCTAATGGCCTGGGAAAGCAGTGGCAATTGGCCCATGTCCTTGGGCCCCAGCACCCATGTGGGAGACCCGGATGAAGCTCCTGGCTCCTTGCTTTGACCTGGCCCAGCCCTGACCGTTGTGGCCATCTGGAAGCTGTTTTTGTCTCTTCCTCTCTCTGTGTAACTCTGACTTTCAAAGACATCTTAAAAAAGTTTTTATAAAGCCTGGGACACATCGAAGTGGGAGGTCAGGTGGACGTCAGGGTCTCGTGGACGAGAGGCCACTTGAGCTGTGACTCAGAGCCCAGGCCTGGGGATCTGAGTGGCGTCCTTGTGTGAGTCACTTCCTGTCATGACTGTCTTGAGCTGAACTGTGTGCCAGAGAGGCCCCGCAGCCCTCACCCCCAGTCACCCACACGGCTTTGGATTTGGAAGCAGAGTCGGAGCAGGCGTGATTGGTTACCCGAGGCCACACGGGGTGAGGTGGGCGACTCGGGGACAGGGACACACAGACAGCTCCCAGGACAACACGGGCAGGGGCTGGAGTGACACAGACGCAAGGTGAGGAGCTGCAGTGATGGCCAGTGAGAGGCAGACAGGACGCCCTGGGGAGAGCACAGCCCACGCACGCAGCCCGGAGTCGGCCTTCCAGGCTCCAGAACCGCTGTGGTTTGCAGCGCCACCGCTGTGGTCAGAGGTGGAGGCTGCCCCAGGAGATGACACCAGTTCCCTCTCAACCTCATGTTCGCCTCTGGAAATGGATCACCCAAGCCATCTCGGGGAGGGGCAGGCTGGCCCCTCTGCCAAGGGCACCTGTGCTGGTCCTGGGTCCCCACGTGGTGTGCGCAGGGCGCTGTTCACTGCGTGAACTTGGGGAGGGCATTGAGGGCCTGCGAGAGGAGGGCCCCCACCCGGGGTGTGTGTGGCCTGACCCTTGGGGGACGTCTGGGTGGGGCCTTCCTCACGGCTCGCCTGTGCCCCTGCATTGGCCAGCTTCCCCGCCCCCACCTCGGGCTGAACTTGACTTTGAGGGGACAGGCAGGGATGTTGCCTGGGGATGGGGGGGGGTGCTAGATCTGGGACTGCCCCTGGCGAGGGCCCGCCGGAGTAGGGTGGCCTGGGGACCTGCAAGTGAGGCTCTCCAGGGCTAGCAAGACCCTGCCCCCTACCACCCCACATCTTGGGCGGGGTCACCGACAAGGATGCATCCAGACCCCATCGAGGCCCCTGAAGCCCGGCCGCTACACTCATGAGGAAAAGGCAAACTGCTTCTCGCTGGGTCTGCTCCTCCTCTTCCTCTCTTGCCTTCCTTTATCTCCCCTGGTCTCACATCACAAAGCTTTCCCTTCTCTCAATCTGGCTTTCCACTGTGTTTCTTTGAAATTTGCTAACTTGACCATTTCCCTTATTTTTCTCTTTTTAAAAGATTTATTTATGGGGACGGTGCTGTGGTGTAGAAGGTTAAGCCTCCATCTACTGTGCCGGCATCCATTATAGGTGCCGGTTCAAGTCCCGGCTGCTCCACTTCTGATCCAGCTCCCTGCTAATGCGCTTGGGGAAGCAGTAGAAGATAGGCCAAGTGCTTGGGCCCCTGCACCCACGTGGGAGACCTGGAGGAAGCTCCTGGCTCCTGGCTTTGGCTCAGCCCAGCTCTGGCCTTTGCAGCCATTTGGGGGGTGAACTGGCGGATGGAAGATCTTTGTCTCTCCCGCTCTCTCTCTGTAACTTTGCCTTTCAAAGAAAATAAATAAATCTTTAAAAAACAAAAATCCAGGGCTGGTGCTGTGACGTAGTGGGTGAAGCTTCCGGCATCCCATCTGGGTGCCCCTTTGAATCCCGGCTGCTCCACTTCCAATCCAGCTCCCTGCTGATGCACCTGGGAAAGCAGCAGAGCTGGCCCAAGTGTTTGGGCCCCTGCCACCCATGTGGAAGACCTGGAGGAAGCTCCTGGCTCCTGGCTTTGGCCCATCCTAGCTCCAGCTGTTGCAGTCATTTGGGGAGTGAACCAGCGGATGGAAGATCTCTCTCTCTCTTCTCTCTCTGCACCTCTGCCTTTTAAATAAATAAATAAATAAATAAATTTTTTAAAAGAAAGGCAGAATTACAGAGAGAGAGAGGGAGAGACAGAGATTTTCCATCCACTCCACACGCGATGACCTGCAGGTTTTAGACTGGCCTACGCCGACCCCAGCACTCAGAAGCGTCTCTCCACTCTTGCGCGTCGACATTTGCTGCCTCCGTGCATGCCGCATGCTGCATCGCTACAGTGCTTGCATACAGACCCAACACATATACTGCGCAGCAAGGCATGCTGGAGTGCCAGTGGCTAGGATACGGACTCCCTGCGTGCCTGCCACCCTGGTAA